CAGGTCTGTATGCTCATTCTGTGTGTCTCTCACACAGCCGTCAAGACTAGAGTCTACCACAACTCACATTCCTGATATTACAATACCATAGACTGTAAAAAAATATGGACAAAGCGTCTGTGACGTCACCCATAGACTCTCTGAAGAACGGGTTTGAAGCTGTTTATGGGCGGCGCCATACTGGAAAATCTTGGAAAATACAAAAGTTTCAGAAAGGATACAGAGGTGGTATGATGTGTTGTGTCAGATCATGGCCGAGACGTCAAATTCACTCGGCGCAGCCCGTTATCAGCTGTCAATCAAAGTTAACCGACCTTATTTGTCATACGTTTTATATCTAAATATGATCTAAACTAACGAGTTAGAAAAAAATGTACCCCCCTCACAGTTGTCAGGCACGCGGAACATATTGAAGATTACAATAAAAGTCCATGGGACCAAACTGTAAACATATGAATTTATGCTGTGAAAACGGACATTATAACATGACGTCTATGGATATTTGCTCCCTTTTGGGACCGGCCTCTAGCGGATTTGAGATGTATTGCAGTTTATCGCACTTCCGGGTAGGCTTCATCTTTCAGATTAGAATGTTGCCGCTTGTACAATACACTATATATGTAGCAATGGCAAGGTCATTGGTTTGATTCCCAGGGCTATGAACCAGTTCAAGAAATGAAAACAAAAACTGGAAACGAACGACATTTTAACAAGAACAAAAACGAAATTTAGTTTAATCATTCTAAACAGAAACGCTAGTTTGAAATGACCTGTAACCAGTCAATATTGTTATTTTCTCATTCTGTTTAATATTTTAATTTGGCAGTCAACCAGTCATGAATTAAAATATTACGACCTATGCAACGTTGTCAAAATGTGACTTCGACATGTCCATCGTGAGTGTATTGTCGAGCCATCGCCATGGCAGTACTCAATTAGCTTTTGATCTCAGGAGTTTTTCCAAGGATACGCCACCAACTGTTAAAGCATTACATTTAAGTGAAAATAAATGCCAGATTAAATCCAGTGTGGCGTGTTTTGAACCCCGCAAAAATTGCAGGTTAGTGTGGAAGTTTTAGGAAATTAAAAATACAAAACGTACAAACCAATGAAACCTTGTTGTTTAAGTTAGTATTGTGACTGTGTATGTTCAGACACTAGCATTATATTGTTAACATTTTATGAAGATCAAGCTCAAATGGAGTTGCAAGGTTTTTCCCCAGAGAATGTCGGAGATCTGTTTTGTCCGTCATTAGAACGGCTACATTTGGCCATGCATTGGCTATGACCATACGGCAAAAACCAGACGAAGACACTCTACTCAGCTCCTCAAATACGTAAAACATTGGCCTTTACAAATATTGTGTTTCATGATAATCGAATGTAAAGAGTTTTATTTCTAAAAACTTTACTTCTAAAAACTCGGCGTTCGTGGTTCGACTTATCGAGACTGTTTTCCAAAGATAGCTCCTGTCTGTATACATGAAGTGGACTGTCTTTATAAAATATCTTCTTATTAAACGGTCTGTACACTTACAAAGTTCTCAATGCTTCGTTTTGCATGTATGGAGCCTCATTATGTTATTGTGTTAGTGTGGGGCTATTTTGAGACTTCTTAGTGGTATAAACTAGCGATTTTTTTTTGTTTGTTTTTTTACTTACTCAATGCCCCCATATACTAGCATTATACGCTAAACAGTTTTTAGAGATAAAACTCTTTACATTCGATTATCATGAAACCTTACAAACCTCAGAGAACGGTCGACTAGGCACCAATGTGTCATTAGACCAAAGGTTCATTTTGCGCCGGAGTTCTCCTTTAAAGCACCACTGCTGAAATGTAAGACTAACCAAAAAGCCTAGATAAACTCACCGATTGACTCGCTGTAAGAATCTAACTGTTGTCAGTTTACACTGTCTGCATGCGTTTCTCATCTCACTGTGGCGGTCTCTGCATTGCAGCGATCCTTCAGGGTGACACCTTGGAAGAGATCTACGATCAAGTCAAGCAGATCATCGAGGAGCAGTCTGGGCCGTACATATGGGTGCAGTCCAAGGAGAAACTATGAGCGCCTTCAGGAGATTACCGTCCCCTTTTCTCTGCCTGATTTATTTATTGATTCTCTCTTTTTTTTTTTTTTTGTGGTTCTTTTTCAAATAATCTCAGTCGGGCTTCTCCAGCCGACAGCGTTCGCTCAACAGATTAATTCCTTAATCCAACGTACTTGGATCTCTGTTCAGTCCTACATCTGCACCTCCTGACTCTCAAGAGAAGGTGATCTGTCCTCCTCAGATCTCCACTGCTTCCACGCTTGCAGAGAGCAAAAGCTGCGCCGGAGCGGCATCTGTTTACCAGGGGTTTGGAAACGGGACAGTTCCTTAATGTTTAAGGGAGGTTACTTTGTAAGGACAAAGACAGCGATCTGGATTTTCCGACACACGTCTCTTTTTTTTTTCTTCGTTTGACCAGTTCGTTTCTGTGTTGTTTTTTTGTGTAAATGGTAACATGGAGCCAGAGTCTCAGGCATCGCATTCATTCAAACGGTGAGAGAAACTCAAAAAGGCAAAAGTTTGCACGTCGTAGCTTTTAAGACCAGGCGTTTCTCTCTCGTTGTCCGTTCCGCACATTGATCGTCGTCGATTTACTTCTTTTTCTCCCCTTGACTGTTGTATTGGCATGCTTATTGTTCTCCTCATTCTAATCGTCTGCGTTTCAGAGCCGTTGTGTGTAGATGATGTCCCGCCACCGCTAGAATGTCGGAGTCTACAATCAGTGTCTTACACAGAGTACATGTTTTCAACTCTTTGATTTACATCTAGGAAAGTCCGTCATTTGTAAGGAACTGATATTTTTAAGAGGCAATAAAATGCCAGCGCATATGTGGAAGAAATTTATTGTACAATGAGATATTGACAGATATTTAACCCTCCATAAACTGCCTATTTTGTTATAATAAAAGTCTATATTGAGCTTTACTTAAGCACTATTATGATGGGAGTTATTTTCTTGACATTGTAAAATGTATATTAGAGCAAGATATTTAACAAAAGGAATAGTATGAATATATTTTTTTCCCCTTTTTCTGTTACCACCCTTTATTTTCCCAAACTGAAACAAACGACAAGGCAGGGCAGCGAGGAGACCGCAGAGAAGACTGAGCCAGGACGATGATTGACACAATATTTGAGGCTAGTCCTGTCTCTTCCTCCTCTCTGCCCACCATTTCATCCTCATCATAATCAGTTGGAAGAAGCCGGCTCTGTCCGTTCCCCCTCTCAGCTGCAAGAAGAGCTTCACAGAGACTTTTTTTAAACCCGTCCCAGAGAAGGGGTCCCGTCTGCTCTTCCTACGACATGATTGTTTTCTATACTAAGACTGCTTGTTCTACCACCTCAACACCTCTGCTTTTTAGGGACATTTTGGGACTGGACGAAAAAAAAAAAAAAAAACATGTAAATAACCTACTGATCTGATTCATTCCATTGATCACAACGAACAAGAGAATGGTTAATTCAAAAACAATAAAACAAAATCTTTCTCATACAGCACAGTGCTGGTGTGAGTCTTCCTTCAGATGGAGTGCTGAAGTATATTTACATTAATACACTTCTGAAAGTTGTCATTATGGTAATGCCAGGCCATTTATGATCGTTCAGTTTGGTATGATTTATTCGCCCTCAATCTGTTCCAAACCTCTATTATTTTATTTCTTCTGTGTTTATTAAAATTGTTACCAACATTCTTCAAAATATCAACAGTTGATGGAAATGAGGGTTTGTAAATGATGACTATTTTACAACACACTGTCAACTGTTTTACACAAATTTGTATAAATTCTTACAATATTATCATTGTTAGGATTTCATATGATCAGCTGACTCCCCACTGGCGGTTAGGTTTAGGTTTTCTCATGAGATTGGGTTGGAAGTTTAAGTATCCCTTTAAGTGTTAAAGCAATGGCAACTGATGTGATGGTATGTTTGCAGATGTATGCAATTATTCATTTGGTTAGTAAACCAGGGAATTGTAATTAACAAACATTGGGAAGAACAGTGAAACGTTCCAAAGATAAGGAACGTATTATAGATAAGTGCGCCTGGTTTCACCCACTGATAGAGGCTATTTATTTGACATTACACACAGTTAGACTTCAAGGGCTTTTTGACTTCTTTAAGTATTATGGAAATCACCGGCGCCTCAGAGTAAAAGTAAAAAAACAGAAATTGTGAATTACAATTAAAAAGGCCACATTTGTGTCAAAGTGCATTTCTTCTTTATATTTTTTTGATGAATTCATGACAAATATCCCTTTATTCTATAGAGCCATTCATTTTTAGTACATTTATTAAATAATGCATATTTGTTTGATCTTAAACCCCCAAAATATCAGGTAGTGCAATTGTCTGAACAAATAAACAGACTAAGAAAACTATTTAAAATTATTTATGATGGCATGATTTTAGGTTTGAACCCTTTCATATAAATTATCCGTAGATTTAAAACTATTGAGATAATTGAAAAACGTTTGTCTGTGAATTTGTATATTGTGGTAACCGCTGAAAACATGGCTCTTTTATTATGAATTGACAAGGTAACAGTAAACATGATAATGCATCATTCAGATCCTTGTGGCAGGCAGAGGATTTTAAGGTTTGTAAATCTCTCCTAAATACTAGTAAAAACTTGTTTCAAGTATGGGTTGGCTGATACTGTTTCCATGTCAGGTAGTACAACTACAGTATTACACAATACCGCCTGCCAGTAAGTCAAAAATATAACTTGAACACTTCGAAATGTTTTTTAACAGGTGAAACTTGTTTAAACACGTTGTTCGTGACTCAACTATATACAATACAACCGTTTTGAAACGATTTTGTGTTTTTCAATGTCAATGTGGGTCACGCGTCAATTTGTAACCTTTGTGACGTAGTTTTATAGAGACATAAATGGGCTACATTATCTACCTTTATTTTAGGTGCTCATGAAACTCTATGCATCATTGTAGCGTAGAACTCTCTTTATTTAATAATCTGGCAACATATTTTGTTATAACGTGACAACCAATCCAAAACACTCATTTCAACCATTTCTTTCTCAAACAACATGGCACTTCCGGTCATAGAAGCAATCTTTACAGTGTTATTAATTTAAATAAGTCTATTAAGGGCCACAACACACCAGTCTGAGTCTTTAAATGACGCTGTCCCAGTGGCACACAATAGTCACTTTTTGTCTTTTATCTGTCGATTGGCGTCCTTTATTCCCTCTTTCACCTCCTTCACAAACGTGTCCCGCAGCCTCGAAGCTCTTCGACCCAAATCCCCCACACCCCTGGGCATCTGTGAGGTCTCCTCGCGTATCTGCCGAAAAGTGTGGGATGTGAGCAGCTTGTTCGAGGCGTTTTTCCCGGCGATCTGAGCTTTAGTGATGGCGAAGGCCGTGATCTGCGCTGCGCGTCTAATAGGTCGAGACTCCGCGAGCTTCTCCACCACCTGAGCGTTATTTATCAAGGCATGGAAGATCCGCCCCAGCACCATTTTGAACCTGTTACAGATATATACATTAGGTTTTAATGACCATGTTCACGTTTAATACATGTTTAGTTTAACTATTATTTCGTTATGTAAACAGTAAATTACCTTCAAAGGTCCCCAATCGAGTACTCTGGACTCCACTGAGCGGGTCTTTCAACACAAGGATAGGATTTGCATCACCGTAAGGGTTTACACGACATACAGTAGCGCCTCTACAGGCGTGGAGAGATACACACACTCAACAAGAAGAAAAAAAAATGAATAAATAAATAAATAAAAGATGAGAGGGTACATAAGCATCAGTTTACAAATGGATACGTTATACATTTAACAATTCCAAAGCCAGGTTATAAATTATTTTAAGTTTAATGGATGTTTTTACAGTATCTTTCATGCAATTTAAATACAGAAAATATACTTTACAGGACAGAACTATTCATTATATTTTATATTTGTATATTATGTGAAAATGTTAAAGGAGGAGCATATATTAATCACTTTAATCGCTTTACTATTTTTTGACATCACATCTTAGCCTACATTTTAATCTCTTTTCCAAGCACCATAAAAAAGGTTTGCCTTTTGTAAACTTGCATTTATGAATGTGAAATTCACATATAAAATGTATAATAAAACCAACATCCTTTAAAGAGCAATCCTTGATATAATACCCCAAAATCACATGTTTTTAAGATAATTTAAATGTTTGAACATTTTTTGGCTTCAGTATTCTCGAGAAAAGGGATTTTCCCACAGCGTAAGCTAGCTTACTCAACACTCGTTTCCTCATCTAGAGAGAACCGAGGTTACATTAGTAACCGAGTAAGTTCTCATATAATGGTGTCAATGCAGGCAGATCAATATTATTGTTGAATATATTAAATTAAACGTTAAATTGAATGTCCCCAACTAAGCAAGCCAAAAGCAACAAAGGCGAAAAAGGAGACAAGGTGGCAAGGAACAAAAGCTCCATCAGGAGACAGAATGGAGGGGGGAAAAAAAACCTTGGGAGAACCCAGACTCAGTCAGGTGGCCAGTTCTCCTCTGGCCAATGAACAAACAGATTATGATTCAGGCAACATTACGGGTCAGAAGTCAGATTTGATTGGAACAATCAGAATATTATCCAGTTCCATCTGGTTGAAGATCAGAGTCACACCGGTATGGAGACGGGTTAGTCTAGTTGACACAATCTCTGCTGGCACTTCAGGGATGCGTTGTGGTCATGTCTAGGCCACGGGATACGGATACGGTCCAGATCCGGCTGACTACATCATGCATTGTGGTCGTATCTAGGTGCAGATCCATCACCTGGTCTGGATACGGCATGGATCCGCCTGATTACAGTAAACCTTGTGTCACGGGTGACAAAATCGCTCAGTAAACGGAACCTTCTTGAGAGTCCTGAGTTTCCTAGGGGAACGTATTGGGTGCAACACTCCACTACGGTTCCGGGTGTGATGGAAACATGCCCGTACTGATTAGCGCTAATGCATTGCAGGTGTGAGAGAGAGAGGAGCGGCGCTCACACAGGCTTCCTGTTTCATAAGCCACAATATAAAAGGAGCATTTAGAGAGTGTTTGCAGTGCGGTTGGTGGGTGTACAGTGTGTCAAGATTCCAAAGGGTTGACTCTGGGCAGTGCTGGATACAGGCTTCCTTGGAAAAATCGTTGGAGTGTGGAGATCGCCCATTCGAGTTTGCTGGGTCAGATTGATCGTTTGTGGGAAGACTGCTGGGCCGAGCTAGGGCTGGATCTGTGCTGTGGAAGGAGAGAGGAAAGATAAGTGAATGGTTTTCATCTTATGAACATTTGAACCACTTGAAGAGGATACAGTGAATGTGGATCTGACTGTTGGAGGAGCTATGTGTTTCAGAGTGTGATGAGGAGGAATTAAAAGTGAAAACCCTGTAAACGAGCGCAACGGCCGGAGTGGGGCCTCTGTCCAACCCTATCGTGTGAGTGAATTGCAGTGCTTTTGCCTTATTGATACACATTGATTTATTGCTGTGGAATTGAAGTGAACACAAGTGTGCTGTGTCTTTGTTGAGAAGTGGCCCCCATCCATGCTTACACGTTCGTGGAAGGTTATTATATCTGCCCCCGTCAGAAGCCCAGAGTGATACAGTGAACTGAAGAGAGAGTACTTTGTACTGTGAAGATCCCCACCTGTCCTACTTGCTGTTTGAGCCTAGAAGCATACAGCACCACTGGTAAAGTAACCTTATGACTCCTGTCTCCCTATTGTGAACTGAAGAGAGAGTACTGTGTACTGTGACTATCCTCACCTGTTCTACTTACTGTTTGAGCCCAGAAGTATACAGCAACGCTGATAAAGTAATCGTTTAACCCACTGTCGCCCTACTGTGAACTGAGGAGAGAATACTTTGTACTGTGAAGATCCACACCTGTTCTACTTGCTGTTTGAGCCTAGAAGCATACAGCACCACTGGTAAAGTAACCTTATGACTCACTGTCTCCCTATTGTGAACTGAAGAGAGAGTACTGTGTACTGTGACTATCCTCACCTGTTCTACTTACTGTTTGAGCCCAGAAGTATACAGCAACGCTGATAAAGTAATCGTTTAACCCACTGTCGCCCTACTGTGAACTGAGGAGAGAGTACTTTGTACTGTGAAGATCCACACCTGTTCTACTTGCTGTTTGAGCCCAGAAGCATACAGCACCACTGGTAAAGTAACCTTATGACTCACTGTCTCCCTATTGTGAACTGAAGAGAGAGTACTGTGTACTGTGAATATCCTCACCTGTTCTACTTACTGTTTGAGCCCAGAAGTATACAGCAACGCTGATAAAGTAATCGTTTAATCCACTGCTTCATTACCGTGCACCCACGAGAGTACCCTGTACTGTGAAGAATCCTTACCTGCCATACTTACCGTCTGAGTCTGGAAGTCTGCAGCACCGCTGGGGAAAAAGTAAGCTTTTAATCCACTGCTTTATTATCGTGCACCAACGACAGTACTCTGTACTGTGAAGAATCCTTACCCGCCATACTTACTGTCTGAGTCTGGAAGTCTGCAGCACCGCTGGGGGAAAAGTAAGCTTTTAATCCACTGTTTTATTATCGTGCACCAACGAGAGTACTCTGTACTGTGAAGAATCCTTACCCGCCATACTTACTGTCCGAATCTGGAAGTCTGCAGCACCGCTGGGGGAAAAGTAAGCTTTTAATCCACTGCTTTATTATCGTGCACCAACGAGAGTACTCTGTACTGTGAAGAATCCTTACCTGCCATACTTACTGTCTGAGTCTGGAAGTCTGCAGCACCGCTGGGGGAAAAGTAAGCTTTTAATCCACTGCTTTATTATCGTGCACCAACGAGAGTACTCTGTACTGTGAAGAATCCTTACCCGCCATACTTACTGTCTGAGTCTGGAAGTCTGCAGCACCGCTGGGGAAGAGTAAGCTTCTAATCCACTGCTTCATTACTGTGCACCAACGAGAGTACTTTGTACCGTGAAGAATCCTTACCTGACATACTTTCTCTTGGGTCTGGAAGTCTGCAGCACCGCTGGGGAGAAGTAAGCTTCAACCCCCCTGCTCCATCATCATACATCGACGAGAGTCTCTTGAACTGTGAGAAACCTTTGGCTTAATAAAGATTGTTACTCCTTTGAAATTTATCTCTGTCTCCGGGTCCTCTGTTGTGTGCCTGTGGTGTCGGCTCCTCACGGTGGTGACTCAGTTAGAGGGGGGGTGGTTGGTCACCCGAGCGTTCCTCCCCTCGACCTGTGACATCAAAAGTGGCGTAGTCGGCAGGGTACACACCGTGAGTTGTAGCGGCCACAGGTACGCGATGGCGGACGAAGAGGCACCTGCGGCTCGTCCTCAAGTCATGCCGATCTTCATGGGAGCTCCCTGGGCGCAGCGCTATGGAGGACCGGGATCGGAGTTAGGCTTACAGGATTGGAAGGCGCAGACGGAGTATCTGGCTGGACTACAGGGACTGAGTGCAGCACAGAGAGTACAGTTTGTGTTGGGGTCGCTGGAAGGAGAAGCCAAAAGGGAAGTTCTGGCTGCATCGGAAGCCACACGTGCTACCGCAAAAACTATCTTCGATTTCTTGTTCGGATTATATGGAGACTCCACCCCAGTGGCCACTCTTCGTGCCCAGTTCTTTAACTATAAACAGGGGCCTACGCAGACACTTCGGGCATACTCCTTGAAGTTGCGGGAGCAGTTTGGCTGGCTGAAGGGGCGACCGGACCATGGACTGGGTGAAGGGGATGACTTGTTACGAGATCAATTCGTCTTGGGGCTGCGTGAAGGGCCAGTACGTCAGGGCATACGACTCCAGCTTCGACGAGACCCCACTATGACCTTTGAGGCTCTGCGACAAGAGGCCTTGGCGTTAGAACTGGACCAGGGAGAGGTAACTCGCACACCAGTCTGTGTGGCAGCAAGTAGTGCCAGTGGACCTGCGCCTGTCGAACCGAGCGATTGGAAACAGAAACTGAGGGCCGAACTGTTGGAGGATGTCAAGGGACAGATGGCGGAATTATCCCGGAACCTGCTGGGTGAGCTTCGTCGAGGGCGAGTTGAAGGCGGAGCAGTGGGGCGAGAGAGGTCGTATTCAGAGGAAGGGCGAGGTCCTCTGCGCCGCCCCCTACGTCCTGTGGGCCCCCGGTTCCAGTGGGACGACCAAGGAAGGCCCATTTGTATAAATTGTGGAGATCCTGGACATATCAGTCGCCAGTGTGGGCTTCGTCGGGGTTCTCAAGGGGGTTTTTAGTTCCACCGGCCACTGTGGGTCAAGTGGCCGGGACCCCTTTGCGTGACCCTCTTTCTGTTCCTGTTGCACGAGATGACTGGGTGGGACATTGCCCTACCGTGGAGGTTCAAGCTAATGGAGTCACGATAGACTGTTTGGTTGACACAGGGTCTCAAGTTACGCTATTCTCGGAGAGCCTGGCCCAGGAGTTGTTCGCAGATCATCGGCTCCAAGCAACTGAAGCTTCCAGGCTGACCCTACGGGGGGCTAATGGTTTGGACATCCCCTACACGGGGTACATCGTGGTAGACTTTCTTGTCCGAGGGGTCCCCGTCCAACAAAAAGGGGTAGTTATTGTCCGAGATCATTGCTTGGGAAATCATCGAGCACTTTTAGGGATGAACGTTATACTGGATTGCTGGGAAGAATTGTTTCGGGGGCCGCCGGCTCGGATGTCTCCGTCACCGGCAAAACAGGACT